TACTGGGCAGTTACATGACAGTAGTAATGTTTTGGATTTTCATCTCACTTCCCACTTCCAAAGTAGTTTCTACAGTATCTTATTGGACCATAAGCAGACCTATGAGGGAGGACGGGGAAGTGGTATTCTTTTTGGAATGAATGAGTAGAGGCACAAAGGATTGTTCCAGTCATTTGCTTGTTGGTGCCAGATGATTATAAATGGCTTTTTGCCATATCTGATTTTTCATACCTGCGTATTTCAACCTTTAGCAATTCACAGTAACAGAAATAGATGTCAGAAAAGAAGAGGCACGGAGCTGAGAAAAAGAACACTAAGTTTAGCACATGACCTCTTAGTCACAGTTTAGACTTCAAGAGGTTGGATGATTAGGTAAAATATTATGAAATCCCAGACTGAGCCCACTGTTAAGTAGTGTGCGACCTTATGCAAATAAAATTTTCTGTTCTCATATCAGAACTTTGAAGTTTGCTTATCTTCGACTCAGTTACTCTAGGGTTTCAAGGTTGTTGAAGGAAAATAGTATTTATTTTAGAAATGACTAGTTGTTCAAATAAATATAGTCAATTCACATTCACAACAGCTCTATCATCCTGCTTTTGTTGAAAGGGTCCTGTGTTGTACTCTGAATAAATTTGAATGAAAAGAGTGAAGTTCCCTAAGCTTATAAAAACCAAACCAAAAACATCCAACCAAAAACCAAAGACCAAGAAAGCAATGTTGAAGAAGAAGGTGATGTGGCTAAGAAAGAAGAGAGCAGGAAAGAAAAGCTGGTCATTGTTGGTGACTGCCAAAAGAACTTAAGTGCTGTTGACATAATCTCGTAGAGTAGATTGTGTTTGACAAGAGTGTGTGGCTCTTCTCTTCCTTTGGCTGGTGGTTAGAGCTGAATTTCAGGATGAGAAAAAGACTGAGGAGTAGCAAATAATTAAAATACAGAACACTTTACACTCTTTAGTGCCTTATATTATTATAGACCCTAAACTCATTTGACTACATCATTATTTTGAGGAGGTGTAAAATCACCAGTCCTGTGGCAGGATTCTTATAATCCTAGGCCCCTGAATTATATTATAGCTAACATTTGTTGTGTGCTTTATGACAGGCCCACTGCTAAATGCTTTATGTGGAATATTTTATTTATTCCCCAAACAACACTTTGAAATAGGTATTATTACTATTTTTCTTTTACAGGTAAGGGCATTGAGATTGATGAATATTGGTAACTTGTTAACCTCTTTCATGGATATGTGTTTTAGGTATAATATAGTAAAAATTCCACAAGAGCCTGGCCAGTGTGGCTCAGTGGATTGAGCATTGTCCCATGGACTGAGAGTTCCCAGTTCGATTCCTAGTCAGGGCACATGCCCAGGTTTCAGGCTTGATCCCCAGTAGGGGTTGTGCAGGAGGCAGCCTATTGATGTTTCTTTCTCACATTCTCGTTCTCTCACCCTTCCTCTTTCAAAAAAAAATCAATAAAAACATATTTAAAAAAATAAATTTCCACAAATTTGAGGGTAGGGAATGGTTATTGCTTTATTACACACATGAATGTTGTTTAACAGTTCAAGACAGGAAGTGAATAATGATGTGAAATATAATAATGAATTCATTTGGAATTGCTTGCCCTTTTGCATTGATTATAATAATTGCTTGAACTGGATTTTTTTGAGACACCAGCTTTAGAATCAGACAGAGCTAAATCTGAATATCAGCTTTACCACTTAACTTGGTACCTTTCCAAACAGGTTATTTAACTGTACTGTGCTTCAGTTTTCTCATTTGGTAAATGGGCACATCTTTCTTCTTCACAAGTCTATTATAAATACATCAATCTACATTATTTATGGATTACATATTTGCAAATTCCCCTACTTTATAAATTTTATTTGTAACTCCCAAATCAGTACTTTCACAGTCATTTGCAGATATGTGCAGAGTAGTAAAAATTTGAGTCACCTGACCACGTGGTTCCAGCTGAGGTCCAACAAGGTGACATTCTGCCTTCTTATTTCATTTATTATATTGTCAACAAATATACTTTTTACCGTCTATTTAATGCCATATTTTATTTTATTTTTTGCAATTTTTTGCTTTCTATAGGTGATTTTACTGTTTAAAATAGTGCTGAAGTTCTGGCTAGTGATCCTCAGTGAAGAAGGCTGTAAGTGCTTTGTGGGGAAAATATGTGTGTTCAATAAGCTTAGTTCAAGCATGAGTTGTGGTGCTCTCTGCCAGAAATTCAATGCTAATGAATTGACAATATATATGAGTATTTTTTTAATTTTTTATCCTCACCTGAGGACATTTTTTTGCATTTATCTTCAGATAGAGCAGGAGGGAGAGAGGCAGGAAGAGAGAGAGAGAAACATCAATGTGAGAGAGACACATTGACTGGTTGCCACCCACACAACCCCAACCGGGGCCGGGGACAAATTGCAACCGAGGTACATGTCCCTAGTGGAAACCGAACCCAGGACTCTCCGGTCCGCAGGCTGTCGCTCTAACTGCTGAGCCATACTGGCCTGGGCTTATAGATGAGTATTTTTAACACATAATACAAGGTTATGTATTGATCTGTTAAAGGTATTGACCAGAGGCTTGCAGGAGCCTACCTCTGTATTCTCCCTAGGAGCGATGGTTCAGTATTTGCTAATTTAGTGTTCGCAACTCTACACGACTACCATGGACTGTGTAATAAATGCTCAATACATTCACTTTCAGCTTTCTCAGTTTCCTTCTGGCCTTAGCCAAGAAAGCACCTCTGAAAGAGTTGGGGATATTCTTTATTATTTTAACTGGGCAATGAACACTGGAACAACACAAACGCAATCTTCTCCTTTTTAGCTTCTGGAGTTCCTTAAGCCAACTTGTCATAAAATATTACTTCTTATTAAAAGTTCAGTTTTGGACACTGTCTTCCAAGATAACTTTATTTAATTGGAAAGTAAATATTTTAGCTTAGCAGGCAGTGTAGTCTCTGTCACAATTATTCAACTCTGCCATTGTGGTGAAAAATGAGTATGTAAATGAATGGTTGTGATTGTGTTTCAGTAAAACTTTATTTACAAACATGGGCTGCTGGCCAGATTTGCTCGTGAGTTGCAGCTTGCTGATCCTTGATTTAGTGTAACATTGGCTCTTGATTTATGATATTATGTATCAGTTTACTATAAGACCTATAAACCACAGGAAAAAAAAATTTTTTCATAACTGTTTTCTTATTGGTAGTACTGGTAGTGATAATAATTACATTTGATGAGTATTTATTAAATGCAAAGCACTGTGCTAACTACTTTATACTATATCTTATTTTTTCAGTATAGCCCTATTAAGCAATACTATGGTTATTATTTCTTTAAAAAAAAATTTTTTTTTCTTTATTGATTTTAGAGAGAGAGAAAGGGAGAGAGAGAGAAACATCAGTGAGAGAGTACATCAATTGGCTGCTTCCTGCATGCCCCCCACTGCAGATTTGGCCCACAGTCTGGGCATGTGCCCTGACCAGGAATCAAACTGGTGACCTCTTGGTGCATGGGTTGAAGCTCAACCACTGAGCCATACCAGATGGGCTATTATTTCCTTTTACTGAAGTAAGAACAGAGGCCTGAAGAGGTGAAGTAACTCACTTAAGGCCATAGACTTAGGAAGTGGTACCACCTGGTCCCTTGTTTTCACCCTGTAGCCAGCATTCAATATTCTTTGCCTAACCTTTTCTTATTTTCTAATATCTTACTAATTTGGGGATGTTGATCTTAGAGTTAGAAGTTCATTGTATAGCATCATAAGCTTTTCTGAAAAACAAAAATCCCATTATGTTTATTTAGTGGATAAGTAAATAGATGAGAGTGCGTTTTAGCTCGAATTTTTTAGTTTTCCAAAATTGGTATGTTTTATTAAGTTTCCAAATGTATTCTAAAAGGAGAATCTACTTAAATGTAAGGCTCTGATACTTCACTCTCTGCTGGGAGATTTTGTTTTCCTCATTGGATAATTTGAAGGTTTTATTTTGTTCTTGTTTCTGTAATATCCTGATTAAAGGATTAGAAAGCCTTTTGCTACTGTTGAGTCAGTAATACCACTCTAAGCACAGAGTCACACACTCAGGGGACATAGATTTGCATTTGTTGAATGAATAATAACTTAGCAGCAGCACTACATTTTTTTCTGTAATTGTGTCAACTCTTAGTCACATTGCCTATGACTTCTGGGTATAGCTCTCCGAATTAGCAGAGAGCTTGACATCGGTAATAAGATGTAGGTTGTGGAAAACAAGATTGGAGTTGTGAGTATTGAAAAAGATGGCTCATGGTTCCAGAGTGGAGAAACTTGTTTGGCTATTACATGTGAGGCACTGCCCTTGGCTTCCCCTTTACATTTAATTCTGATTCACTCAATCAACCTTTTATTTGGACTTAATATTTAACAGCTACAATTAGGAGTCTAAAAATAATGATCCTTGTTTTCTGGAAGATGAAAGCCTCACATCAGCTGGTAAGTGGTATTTATACCTAGATCTATGTCTCTCTCTCTCTCTCTCTACACACACACACACACACACACACACACACACACACACACACTGCTTTAATGGATGTATTATAGAAGCACAGAAGGAGGAGAAATTGACTACCTGGTGAGGGCAGGGAGGTCTTTTATGAAGAGGGTCATTTTGGAGTTAGGAATGGGGGTTTTCCAAATAGCATAGGTAGGTTGGTGAACATCTCTGGAGAAAGAAGACCACAGCAGCAAGGAAGAGGATGAAATATTTTGGTAATATGACTTTTGTGATGGCTTAAAAGGGTGGGGCAAGGGATGAGGTGGTAAACAGATTGGGGCCTGGTTGTGAAGAGTAAGTCATGATAAGGGAGACTTGGAAAGCTTTAATTAGGGTGTGACATGATCAGAGCTTCATAAAAATAATTCTGGTGGCAGTGTGAAGGGGAAGAAATTGATGGGGGAGTCTGGTGACTAATGGATGTACACTCTTTGTCTTCCAGCTTTCTCCTGTGCTTCTGGAGAGTATCTGGAGATGAAGAACCAAGTATGCAGTAAGTGTGGAGAAGGCACCTACTCCTTGGGCAGTGGCATCAAATTTGATGAATGGGATGAATTGCCAGCAGGATTTTCCAACATCGCAACATTCATGGACACTGTGGTTGGCCCTTCTGACACCACGCCAGATGGCTGTAACAAGTAAGAAACCAAAGGAACTTTTGGATCTTGATTGAACAGTTGAGAAGGTGTAGTTGCTCTTTTTAAGAAAGAAGTTGAGGATAATCTTGGTACTGATTGAAATTATAGATAAACTAATCACAAATAATCATATTTTTTGGGATAGTCATTACAAATTATGTGGCTCAATTTTTATGAAGTTAAAATAATTGTTCCCAGGATATAATAGATACCATATGTAAAAATGTGATAAAGCTATAGAAAAAACAAATTCATTTTCTAATAATATATTTATAACTACACTAAAGCTAGTGGTATTTCTTCAAATGCTTCTCTAATTTTTAGTGAATAATTCCAGATTTTTTTTCTTTTCCTCTGAAAGGAAGAATGTGTAGCTTTCATTTAGATGCTTGATTATCTTCTATAAGAGAGTGGGTTAAATATATAAAGTAGAAAGCTCATTTCTTAATTTCTACCTCTTATTGGAGATTATTAGCTTTGCCTGTGACACCGCTGGTGGAATGTAAAACTTTATTTTGAAAAAACAAAACAAAATAAAATGTTTATCTTTGGTCTGTAACCCTTTCTATTCTCTCGCATAGACTATGTAATATTTCCTTTCACATGGTCATGTTATTAAACTTTAGGCCTGTGCTACCTTCTGACAAGAGTGGCTTTTCAGAAACTCAAACATTTTACCATGAGACCAGATTGTCTACAAACCAAAAAGATTTACTCTCTGGGCCTTTATGAAAAAGTTTGCTGAACTTGCTCTAGGGTAAGGCCTCTAGAAGGTGAGGCAAGTCTGGAATCTTAGGTGTCATGTTCAATAAGTTTATCAAGTTTTCCCTCCCTGGTTGGTTAGGAGATCCAGTGACTCCCATTAAAGTGACCTCACTGGTTATGTCCTAGTTTTGCAGTGGCTGCTAGGACTGCACTCTCCAGCCCCACGCCCAGGACCCACAGAGAAACTCTTCACGGATTTCTCGAGTCTCTATTTTCTCAGATTCTCATGCCTATAAATTCCCAGCTCTCTCAGCTGCTCCAAGCACTCATCTCTGTTCCTCAGCTCAGTGAGATCACCGTGCTTAGCTTGGGTGCCATCTCCTGGTGCCATCTTTTGGGACTTGTCCTGAGGAATGAGGCCAAGGTCACTTTGAGCTTTACCTCATGTGTTTTGCTGCTCCCAGAAATCTCAGTTTTGCACTGACCGGCGTCAGTGCCTGAAAAGGGCTCATGTGTTTTTGTTGTTTTTTAAGTTTAATAGAGGGAAAGGGTAGATCCAGTACTTGATAGTCATGTTGGGATGTGGAAGTCTTAGTCTTTTATTCAGATATTATTTTCTGTTAAGGAAAAGAAAACATTTTGCCAAAATCTCACTTTTATCATCTAAATAAAACTTTAAATCTGAAGAGATGTACTATTGTACAGTTTGGTTGGAATTTTTTTTTCTTCCAAATTTGACACATGCCTCATTATTGGTTAATTCTAAGAATTAATAACTTATGGTTAGATTTACAACCCAAATTTTGTTAACCAGTGTGTTTTCTTAATGTTTCATCTTGTTATTTAAATAAAAATTCCAGACTTTTACCTCATTATATCCTATGAAACTGTGATCTATATTTTATTTAGGTTCATTTTAAATGGGCTTTTTCTAGGACTAGTATTTCTTCTCTCATATCAAGGAACCTCTTTACCCCCTTCCATGTGAATGTGTTGATAAATAAAATTTCAGTAGTTGTTTGAGAGAATAATTCCACTTAAGATCAGTAGAGTTAGTGATTGTTTATTTTCTTTTTTCTTTTTTATCCTCACCTGAGGACATTTTTCCATTTTTTTGTTCAGATAGAGTGGGAGGGAGAGAGATAGAGAGAGAAACATCAATGTGAAAGGGACACACCGAGTGGCTGCCACCCACACGACCAACCAGGGCTGGGTACTAACTGCAACCAGGGTACGTTCCCTTAGCAGGAACCGAACCCGGGTCTCTCTGGACCGCAGGCTGATGCTCCAACTGCTAAGCCAAACCAGCCAGGGCTCTTTTTTTTTTTTTAAAGATATTTTATTTTGTTACTTTATTTAATTTTTTATCCTCACCTGAGGACATTTTTGCATTTATATTCAGATAGAGTGGGAAGGAGAGAGAGGGGAAGCAAGAGAGAGAAACATTGATGTGAGAGAGACACATCTACTGGTTGCCACCTACGCGACCCCCAACCGGGGCCGGGGACAAACTGCAACTGAGATACGTGCCCTTAGCAGAAACCAAACCTGGGACTGTCTGGTCTGCAGGCTGATGCTCTAACCGCTGAGCCAAACTGGCCAGGGCAGTGATTGTTTCTTTCGTGATAAAATTTTTGGTGAAAAATAGCAGTTTTATAGCAAATTGATCTTACCAAGTCTTAGGATGTCATGTGCTGTAAGAAATTAATCTTTTCCCAGTAATGGTGCTGGCTTTTGAGCTCCAGAAAAGCTTCTGGTCTTCTCTGCTGTGCTTTGCCCATGGAACTACTTTTATTTATTTATTTATTTATTTATTTATTTATTTATTTATTTATTTATTTATTTATTTATTTTTAATCCTCATCTGAGGACATTTTTCCATTTTTTGTACAGACAGAGTGGGAGGGAGAGAGAGAGGAAGAGAGAGAGATGGAAACATCGACGTGAAGGGACACATCAGGTGGCTGCCACCCGCACGACCAACCAGGGCCAGGGACAAACCGCAACCGAGGTACGCGCCCTTAGCGGAAACCGAACCCGGGTCTCTCCGGACCGCAGGCGGACGCTCTAACCGCTGAGCCAAACCGGCCAGGGCACCCATGGAACTACTTTTAAATTTGAGTTACACAACTTGTGAGCACAAGAGGTTTTGGCAGCCGATATAAAATGCCTTTTGGCTTTTTTTGCAGCTCTTCTTGGATCCCTCGTGGAAATTACATAGAGTCAAATCGTGATGACTGCACCGTGTCTTTGATCTACGCTGTGCACCTGAAGAAGTCGGGTAATGTCTTCTTTGAGTACCAGTACGTCGACAACAACATCTTCTTTGAGTTCTTTGTAAGACCTTTTATATTCTGAAATTTACTTTTTAAGGGACATTCATGTAAAATTGACCTTAATCTGTTGTTTCCATTACATGTTATGCCTCCTCAGTTTTCTTTGTGAGTGTGTTAACTGAAACTTTTGATACTAAGAGATAACTTTACTTTTTCCTATAATATATTATTTTCTGTTTCTTTACCTCTGAGCTCTTGCCTTGTTTTACTTTTGGTTATGATCATTAGATGACCACTTGGTGTAGATTTTTGTGTGACAAATATTTTCTCTAAGATTCATTTTAAATTGTGATTTTCGTAGCTACAGGTGCTATTTTGTTAAAAAATATGTTCTTCACCAATTTTAGTTTTTCTTTTAAAAGGTTTTTTTTAATCTCTGCAATTTCAAATATTTGAATTCTTTGACTCTATTCATGGACAGTACTTCAGAAGTGGAAGTTGCTGTATGTTTCTGATTCTGTCAGTTTTGTACAATCTAAAGCGGTGGTTCTCAAGCTGTGGGTCGTGACCCCTTTGGGGGTCGAATGACCCTTTCACAGGGGTCGCCTAAGACATAACAGTAGCAAAATTACAGTTATGAAGTAGCAACAAAAATAATTTTATGGTTGGAGGTCACTACAATATGAGGAACTGTGTTAAAGGGTCGTGGCATTAGGAAGGTTGAGAACTGAAGGAATTAATGAATAGGATAGTTGATGTCTCTGGTAAGAGATTACTTAGCATTACAGAATACAGGATAAAATAATCTTAACAGAATAGGCTGTTGCCTTTAAAATTACTTAATTATTTTATATAAACTGTAGCTAATCTAGCAAATATTTGTTGTGGCCATGATTCAAATGTTTGAGAAAATGTTTTCTGATTGACTTCTTATACTGAAATAAGTGTGTGTTGTGCAAGTAACTGGCAAAATATCTAGTAAAATGTTTCTGTGGTACAGATTTCAGAAGGAAATGTACTAGCAATTCCAACACAAACGTATATTGCTCTATATAATGGAAATTTCTAACTCAAAAGTTTGGTAGGAAGAGATATTTTTGATTAAAGTATGAACCTTAGATTTGAAGGCAAGAGATTCTGGCTCTAGTCCCATCTCTGCAGTTCCTAGCTGTGTGTTATTGGGCAATTAAGTTAACGTTTCAGTCCTCAGCATTCCCTTTTGTAAAGTGAATTGTGTGACAGGACATTCTAAAGAGCTCTCCCAGGTCTAATATCCTTTGATGAGTTTAAGATGTTAAGCAACATTTAAACAGATTTGCTTTTTAAGCTGCATTTTGCTTGCAAAATATTTCTCGGAGTGAATGATTGCCTGTTTTATGGGACAGTTTTGCAATATTGCTAAAACTAAACTGAAGTTAAGAAGCAAGGTAATTATATAAATGTTCGAATAAGCACTTAGTTTTATATTTTCTGGCAACTGCTTTGAGAGTTGTCAGTGAAGGTACTCCAGGGACATGACATTTCATTACTGCCTTTCAGGAATGCCTTTGTTCTGGGCATAGGCTGAAAAGGGATGGCAAGTTCATGTTCCTCCTTGTATTGATGCTCATATCCATAGGTTGCGATTTATTGACTCAGAGGGTATGTACTTCACGGTCATCCTGCTAAGGGTTAGTGGAAAGGAAATGTCTGAGGACGGAAAGATGAAATTTTACCTATGGATATTACATAATGTAAAGCAATGAGTATTTAATTTTAGAACTGTATGGGACTTAAATAATAAAACTGAAACCTTTTAGAAAGAATAAGTGATTGGACCAAGGTTATACTATTGCTAGTCACGTTTAGAATGAATACTGGAACAGATCTCCAGAATGCCGGTGGAGAGGATGTTGTGGCCCATGATGGCTGATTTTGACTGAAAAGAAGCTGCCAGCGTATCCAAACACTGATCACCAAAGGTATATTCAGGGTTCATATCTGTTTTAGAATGGCTTAACACTTACATTAAAATGCCCATTATACGTATAATATAAATAGGACACTTAAATCCAACGAAAGACAATCTCCTCAGTAGTAGACATTCTCTGGTATTTGGATGGCAATGATATTTTCTGATTAGTAAGTCTTTAGGAAATTTCTCTGATGGAGAACATGTTCTGTTGTTTGCAAACTGGTCAAGAGGGTGCGTGAAGTGGTAGAATGACTTAGAGAAGAAAGAAATAGCCATTTGGGAGGAAGTAGGATAGATGATGAGAACCTGTTTTAACCCTACTTTGTTGCTGACTTTTGTTCAATACTGTAAATATGGCCTAACTTTTGATGTTTCCATCTTCTTTGTGGACCTGGAAAAACGTCCCAAACCCTAGGCGTTTTGGAAGAAGTTCTGGAAAGCACAGAGGTTTGGTGTAGAGATATTAGCTGTAGTCATTTAAATTGGTGTGGCAAATGATTAACATTTATCCTGAATAAAACTTGGGGCTTTGACTCTAACCACTTACCTATACATTTGGATTTAGTCCTCGGGAACTGAAAACAAAGCAGACTTTATTAAGATTTTACTGCCTCAAATATTATAAAAAATAAAGTTTATTTTTATACCATTGGGCCTGCAGGGTGAATGCAAGCTTTTAAAACCATTTGGTAAGATTTTTGTAGCAACTTTTTCTCTTTATGTGAATTTTTAGTATTAACTGCCTTTCCCCCCCGCCCACCCCACTTCTCAGTGAGCTAGCTTTTTTAAATTTTTGTTATTTTTTAAATCTTCCACCCAACAATATTTTTTTGTTCATATTCAGACAGACAGAGAGAGAGAGAAAAACATTGACTGGTTGCCTCCCACACGACCCGGACCAGGGCTAGGGACCGAACTATAGCCGTTGGCCAGAATTGAACCCACGACCCATTGGTCCTCAGGCTGACATCTAATCACTGAGCCAAACCTGCTAGGGCACTAGCCTTTTTTATTTTATTTTTAAATTTTTTTGGCACTAGCCTTTTTAAAAACAATGTCAATGGTTGCCCTGGCTTGTTTGGCTCAGAAGTTGGAGTGCTGGCCCTTGGACCAAAGTGGGTTTGATTCTGGTCAAGGGCACGTACCTTGGTTGCAGTTCAGTCCCTAGCCCTGGTTGGGGTCATGCAGAAAGCAACCAATTAATTTGTCTGTCTCACATCAATGTTTCTCTCTCTCTCTCCCTCCTACTCTATCTGAAGATAAATGCAAAAATTTCCTCCGGTGAGGATTTAAAAAAAATGATGACAGTGGTTCACGTAGAACCACTCACTCATACGCAGTTGCCACGTAGGCTTCATAGGTCTTGATGTGTTTACTTGTTGAGCATTGCTCATAGACATTGTTTAATGTATGTATTGAAAGAAGCTCTTGCAGCCTGCCCTGTGCTGAGTAACACATTTAATTAAAGCCGTTATTCAAGAAGACATACTGGGCCGTTGTGTTTACCCCACAGATTCAGAACGATCAGTGCCAGGAGATGGACACCACTGCTGCCAAGTGGGTCAGACTCACAGACAATGGAGAATGGGGCTCTCATTCCGTAAGTCTTTTCCTTCTTCTCCTCTACCACGCGCCCCATTTTTCTCCTTCATTTTTCCAACCCTTTTTAAAAGTTTATTTTAAGGAGAAAAAGATTTCAAAATTGTCTATTAATTTAGACAATTGCCAGTGAGAGACGAAGTTTCATGGACTCAGTCTCTTTCTAGGTAATTTTCCTACCTTTCTCTTTCTCCTTCACGTCTTTCCTTTCTCTTTGCCATCATACTACAACGGCCCTCCTTTTCAAAGGGGGCACTGACGAGAAATCAGGCTACTCAAACTAGTATACAAATCCTGTGAGTATGTACGGTTACAGATGTGCCTGCCACAGGGAGAGAATCAGTGGCCTTGGCACTGGAAGGACCCTTGAGTCCCTTTCATCCAGCTTTCTCTGCAGGCTCCCCAGTAAGTGATTTTCCAAGTTTGTCTTGTTGAGGGACTGTGCTGACTCTATTGTTGGGTAGCTCTGATTCCCACAAAATTCATCTGTGTTTGGAACCTAAACCTACTTTCTATTTGCCACCGATTGGTCAAAGTTTTATGCCCTTTGAAAAATGTCTTCATGTTGAGTAAAGTAACTGCCTAATTCTCAGGACCGCAGGCCGACGCTCTAACCGCTGAGCCAAACCGGCCAGGGCATAACTGCCTAATTCTCCACAGAAACTAAATGCTTGAAGGCAAGTATCAGTAAAAATACAGGTAACACAGCCCTGGCTGGTTTGGCTCAACGGTTAGAGCATCGGCCCGTGGTTCAGAGAGACCCAGGTTCGGTTCCCGCTAAGGGACCGTACCTTGGTTGCAGTTTGGCCCTGGTCCTGGTTGGGTCGTGTTGGGGAGAGCCACTTGATGTGTACTTTTCACATCGATGTTTCTCTCTCTCTTCGTTTCTCTCCCTCTCCCTCTCTCTGAACAAAAATGTAAAAATGTCCTCGGGTGAGGATAAAAAAAAAATACAGGTAACACAGTCCATGTATCTGTTTTTATTTGAGGCACTGTGCCTTTGGAGTGACACATGATTTAACATCAAACTCTGGCTTATAGTAGCTGTGTTTTCTCTCTCTCTCTCTCTTTTTTTTTTTGAGGAAGGACAAGGAGGGGCTGGGAGGACTAGACAGGGCCAGGGGTAGGGGCAGGGCTAAGGTGAGCAAAATGGGGAGCTAGGGAAGGAAAGAAGGCGGGCAAAAGCCAGGAGGAGGAGTGGACCAGCTCCAGGTCCGGCCCAGAGCTGTGTTTCTTTAGGCAACTGGCTTAATCTCTTTGAGTCTGTTTTTTCATGTAAGAAATGAGACCATTCTTGCATGGTTAAATGAGATGATAGATGGGAAGGGCCTGTGTGGTGACTGAGCTCTGTTTCCATAAGTGATATCCATCCTGGCCTTTGTGTTATAGCAGAGGCTCCATCTGGGAGTGACTAATACAATGTACTTTTCTGAGCATTTCTTGATCTGTATGCCTAGAAGTGACATTGGTACCACTTAAAATCTATTTCCCTAAGCATTCAGTCAGCTGGCCTTTGAAGGTACAAAATAACCTTTGGCAACAAATATGCTTTCTTTACTTATAAAGACTTCGTACAGGACGGAAGTACTTAATGCACTACTTTTTTGAATCTCTGGCAAGCTGAAGTGGTTGGATATGTTTTAAGTTGATACAGCTTGAGTTTGGCCAGCCAGAGGCTGCAGAGAGGAATAAGTAAGAGTGGCAAATGAGAAAGCAAGGGACCCTTAAAATTAGTTTGGTTGCCTGAATTAGTATGAAATTTCTCAGAAAGGTAGTTTGATTTATAATTAGAAAAATGTCCCAGTGGCAAAGAAAACAGATATTAGACATAGTATCATTTAAGTTCGAAAGTCAGCGTTAAATAAGGTTATTCTAAAAGAATAATCCTATTTTTTCGTGTTGCTGTTGCAGAATTATTTATTAAATAAATGGAAAAAAAAGAAGCAAACTCATTCTGATGCCTTATTGTTCTCAGAGCTCAAAGTCTACTTATGAATAGTGGTATCCAATAAATATATAATTGGGCTGAGTGCATTTTACTCCCTAAAATGAGTCTCTTTTAAATATCAATCAAGCCATCATGCAGATGGTTTGAAAATCATTTTATCTTTTTTTTTAGACTTGAGGAATTTTCTTTTCTTTCTTTATTAGTATATATTTTTTGGATTGGCAAAAGTATTTTTTTAGAAAATGTGAACTTCAGCAGAGCTTACATTTGTGGATTCTAAATTAATGGTGTTTCATTATAATGCAAAAAAATGTATATGAGATTAGTTTTCAGGTATGGTTGCATGTAGCATGTCTTGTGTTTTTCTTTACAGGTAATGCTAAAATCTGGCACAAACATTTTATACTGGAGAACAACAGGCATCCTGATGGGTTCCAAGGCAGTCAAGCCGGTGTTGGTAAAAAATATCACAATTGAAGGTATTTCACAGCAATCTGTTTTGGTAGTCACCCGTCACATTTTATATTGCGTTAAAATATTGATTGAATTGTTAGTTTGGCTGGCTCAAGGGTTTACGGGACAGGAACTAATATGTTAGTTATCATATAGATCTAGAGGTCCTGGTTTTATTCCTGCAAGTTGACTGTTTTTTTGTTTGTTTTGTTTTGTTTTTTTGTTTTTTTTGTACTCTTACACCAAATTATTTTATCTGTGTGAAAAAGTAAACATGATGACAATTTTAGGTGTCTTTAAATAAAAGAAAAATGTTTTTGTTAATAAGAGCCTGTTATACATTTGGGAAATGTCTATTGTGCCAGTCATTGTGCTTAACTCAGATTACTGCTGTATCCAAAAAAATAACAATAATATAAACATCTTGACCTGACTGTCTCCCAAATCTCTTATGCTTCTGAAGCAGCTGGGCCTTTGTGGCCCCAGAGAGTGGCCACTAAATCCTGGCAAGATTGATTCTCAGAGCTACTTATAATTAAAGCAGTGATTCTTCTTTGTTAAAGTTTGGCTTGTGTTTTAATATTTTTTAAGTGTACTTGTTCCTGTGATGCTAACTTATTAGTCATAGGGACATCTGCTGGCAAAGGCTGAAATTACAAACTAGAAAAGTCAAACCCTTCCTAGGGTCTGTTAAGTCTCTCCTGTAACTTAGTGGGCCGATGATAAAAAGGGAATCAACAGGTAGCCACAGAGATCAGAGGATGGTAGCTTGTAGAATGGGAGGGTACCTTAGAGTTTATTCCACTCTGAGTTCGTGGCGCTGTCTTTTCACAACAGTTTTTAGACATGTACTATGCCTCTGACAAATGCTAATCCCTTGGTTAAGTGTTTGCTCTTCTTACTGTGTTTAATTCAGTATCCCAGTTCCTTCCTGCAGCAAACACTTCTTGGTGCTCAATTAGTGAGGTGAAGGATTTGGGCTGAGCTTACTCAGTAATTCTCTCTCACTTCTGGTGGGAGCAGGCGCTGACTGGCTTGTTGTTGGGTCCTCCCTCCCATGCTCCATTTGTCATTACCCCCCAGGAGTGGCATACACATCCGAATGCTTTCCCTGCAAGCCAGGCACCTTCAGCAACAAGCCGGGTTCATTCAACTGTCAAGTGTGTCCCAGAAACACCTATTCTGAGAAAGGAGCCAAAGAATGCACGAAGTGTGCAGAGGACTCCCACTTTTCAGGTAGGTCGAATCTTTGCCAGTTTATACTCTTTGTTGTTTTCTTTTTAAATTTACGTTTGTTGAGTGTATACTCCTAAACCAGAAACCACACGTGAGTGGGACAGGAATAGTGGGCCAGACACCAGAGTGCTGTAGGGAATCAATATTGAGTGGATAAAAATGACTTCTTTCATCCCTTTCTGCGTGACTTTTCCTTTTTTTGTGTGTACTTTTTTTCTATTCCATACTCCACAAGTAACTGCTTTGGATATGTTATACTAATCTAAACTCATGTTGTACTTTTAGATGATTTGTGGGCATAGAGATATATTTAGAAACCTTAATTTGTTCCAAATTTACAATTTTAATAATGCCTTCTTGGAAAAACTATGGTATGTCCCATGTGTATCATGGAAACACTTAATGACTCTAGTAAAAATAAAATGTCAGCTTTGACCTTCTTTAGGTAGCATTTAGCCAGTTCTACCTAAATTCCTCTGGTAAGGTTATTTTTATTTTTTAGTTGTCTTTTTTTGTTTGTTATTTTTGCCCTTTCTTAGAGTCACAGAAGAATCGACTCATTTCTGAAATGCATTTCTGTGTTGCAGAAGAAGGAGCCAGCGAGTGTATGGAGCGCCCTGCCTGTACCACGAAAGACTATTTTCAGATCCACACTCCATGTGATGAAGATGGAAAGGTATGGGCAGTGTTCAGCGAACTCCATTCTGTATTTATTCAACCCTTGTCCCAGTGTGAGCTGACTAATTTGTTGATGAGAGAGTTGAATGAGCTAATTTATAACCCATATATGTAAAGTAGTACAGAGGAAATTTAATCATTTATATTCTGAAGCCTGCCTTCCTGGCTTTGATTTTTCCAGTCTACTAATTAGTGCTGTGGGCAAGTTATTTGCTATTTCTAAGTCTCAGTTTTTTCATTGGTAAATAGGGATAATATTTGTACCTATGTCATAAGGCTGCTATGAGAATTTGAGGTATTCAATGTAAGGTTCCTGGCACAGTGCCTGGGACATATTGAGTGCTCAATAAATGGCTGCTATTTTTTAACAGTTATAGTTTTAAAGAGTAATAATATCAGGAGAAGTACAGCCTTGAAATGTGTCCTGTGACTCACAGGATGGAAATACAGTAAGTCCTCATTTCACATTGTTGATAGGTTTTGAGATTTTAAGTGAATCAGTGTATAAGAAAACCAATTTTACTCCAGGTTAATTGATACAAACAAGAGTTAAGCTCCTGTAGCAGGTCAACAATGTTATAATGAAACAACAAAGGATGTTGAATGGAACAACTTTATTTGGGCCCCTATTGTATCCTGTAACTTCTCTTTAATTATTTGGTTTCTCAGGTTTTGTCAATAAAAAAGCCATGCAGCCATTGGCTAATTTAGTCACGGCAGATGACTGTGTAATTGCATTTAGAGAATACAAAGCAATTATCATATAAACGATACTGAGCCAGAGGAAAATGCACACGTGACCTGTGCGGCTGACCTGCCACTCTCTTAATTAAGTAGTGTCAACCTATACTCGCCTATTCAGTGGAAGCTGAGATTAAAGTGGCTGTGATGCAGCTTTTTTTCTGTATGTTTGCATCTTCGAAATCATGGCATTTAATTTCTTGACCTAGTTTGGTAAATACACATAGATGCTAGTATTGCTTTATTTTCTTAATTTTTTATCCTGAGGTCCTAATCTATAATTTATATACTTATATGGTTGCAGTTCTTACCCTTAGGCCTTAAGTGTTTTTTAAAGGAATTTACTTTTGAATGCTTAAGACCGAGTCCATTCTAGCACTTACAGTAGAGCTAATACTAACTCAGGATAATTAGAAGGAAGTCCAGTTTAAACTAGTGGGAAATTTCAGTGATTAGAAGTACTTCTATTACTTTAATAAGAACAGCAATTCAAATGAATAGGTTCTACAGTAATGGCCAAGAAAAAGATTTTTATTTAGAAAATATATGTAAAGAACCACTAAGGTGGGTTGAAAGTTACTTGGAATAATGTTTCTTTAGTTAAGATTTTCTTAGTTAAACTTGCCTTATTAATAAGTAAAACTGATTAAATTTATTTTATTTTATATAATAATAATTAATTCAGCATTACTGCAATGTAAATGAATGAGATCTAATATACAAATAATCTTGTTTTTGCTATAATAAAAATATCCAGAAGTCATATTTTAATTATGTTCAATGAGTGATATGAGAAATCTAGTTGACCTGGCCCTAAAAGAAGTAAGGCCATATACTAAATATAGAATGCACAGAATACACACACATGCACATATATGTGCCCATGTTTGCACCCACAGGCATGTCGTGTATACATATACACAAATTATGTTTTTCTGTTGATCTGGGTGAACTCTAAACGTGTTCTTGGTGTAGAACAAAACAATGGACAAACATTCCATAAACTCAGTGATTCTTTAAAAAGTGATTTACAACTTATTTCAAGATAAATGTTTCTATCTTCAGTAGTAAACAAAAGCAATGGGAACATCAATAACAGATGTGTGAAAAGTATAGATTAGACATGTGCATTTGAATGTTTTCTGGTTTTGTTGGTTACTACATTTTCATTTGTTCTGGTTTCACCTTTTCAAAAAGTATTTTATTCTTACTGGGGATACCCTGGTGATTTGCTGGTGGTTTAGTGGTGTTTCCCAGATTGTTCAAGGACTGTCTTTTGTTCTGTTATACTCTCTCTTTGATTTTATTTTCCCCTTGCTTAGAGAGGTTAATCAAGGGAAGTGGCTATTGTGATATACAGATTTTGAACATTGTAATTTTATGGCACAGAAATGTTACGAGTTTCTGTGTTCATTTTGAAGCTTAGTTATTTGATTTCTTCCTGCGCATAGGGGATGTTTTTCAGGAAATTTTTAATTGCTAACTGGAACCATTCTAATCCTGATTAAAAGACTCATTAACATCATGAAAAATGTGGACTGCCTATTCATTCATTCATTCATTCATTCATTCATTCATTCATTCAGTGAATAAATGAACACCGATTATATGCGAACTGCTGGATGGGGAGGGGAGAGCTTAGGATGGACAGAAGAACATACATGTCTACACAGGTTGTAGAGCAGTGGTTATCACACTTCAGTGACCTTCAGACTCACCTGGAGATTTCTGTCCCAAATTTTCTGTCTCAGTAGATCTAGGGCTGGGTCTGGTTTCAAAGAAGTTTCCAAGTAATTATGATTTTACTGGTCTAGGAGTTCAGCAATTTGAGAACCACTGGTCTAGACTTTCAGGAAAAGATAGTCAATCAAAAAAATTATTATTTCAAATTGTGATTGGTGCTGTAGCAGAGAAGTCTGAGTTTTATGGGGATCTGACCTAATCTGGGGTGGCTTCAGAGCCTTATAAAACCTAGGCAAGAGCATGGGAGAGAGCACTTTTGGAAGAGGGAGTGGGAAGGTGCAGACCTGACGTGGGAGGGAGTACAGCGAGTCTGAAGCACTGCAGGGATGTGGGTGTGACTGGAGGTAGGAAGTTGCATTAGATGCAGCTAATGAGATAGGCTAGTGCTAGAACTGGCATGGTGTCCTAGTAGTGAGCTAACTTTTTACATATGCTTTGTTTTCAAAGAATTGCTTATAGCTGTAAACAAGCACATGCACAGATTTAATGCTTGAGATTTGAGCTCAAAAGAATATTGACCAGACTGGCTGGTGTGGCTTTGTGGTTGAGCATAGACCCATGCACCAAGAGGTCACCGGGTTGATTCCCATTCAGAGCACATGTCCGGGTTGCGGGCTCAATCCCCAGTGTGGGGACATGCAGAAGGTGGCCAGTCGATGTTCTCTTTCAATGATGTTTCTATCTAAAAAAAAAAAAATCAATAAAACATATTTTTTTAAAAAAAATTGTTGACCAGTGATAATGAGTAAGTAAAGTATTCATCAAGAGAAGGCATCTTTTAATGTTAGCAATATATATATATTTTTTTATCCTCATCCGAGGACATTTTTCCATTTTATGTACAGACAGAGTGGGAGGGAGAGAGAGGAAGAGAGAGAGGGAAACATCAATGTGAAAGGGACACATGGAGTGGCTGCCACCCGCACGACCAGCCAGGGCCGGGGACAAACTGCAACCGAGGTACATGCCCTTAGCGGGAACCGAACCCGGGTCTCTCCGGACCGCAGGCGGATGCTCTAACCGCTGAGCAAAACCGGCCAGGGCAATGTTAGCAATATTTTTGATAGAACCTCTCATGATCTTCCAATGGATAACATAGAGAATTGTGGACTAAATGTTATGGCTAAGTAGATATATAGCTAACTGAAGAACTATATGTAAAAAGCTTGATTTAAAAAATGGATATAAATGTACTTGGTATTAACTAGGAGTGCAGTTGGTATCAATGTTTGCCATAGGAATATAAATTTAACAAAGGATTTATACATATCCTAACTCATATCAAAAATGAGTTCAAATGACTTACTTGTTTTTTTTGTGTTGTTTTTTTTTTTTGGTACGTGCCCCTAGCGGAAACCGAACCCAGGACTCTCTGGTCCGCAGGCCAATGCTCAAACTGCTGAGCCAAACTGGCCAGGGCAACTTACTTTTCTTTATTAACTAATTTATTTATTTTTGTTACAGATGTTTCTCCTTTTCCTCCCACTGATTCCCCCCTTCCCCTTCCTCCCTGCCCTGTCCCCGGATTTGTTTTCCATGTCCATTGGTCATGCACACATGCAAATAAGTTCTGTGGTTTATCTCTCCCCCACCACCCCCTATTCTGGGGATTGTCAGTCTGTACTCCACTTCCACGTCTCTGGGACTACCCCATTCTTCAGACTGTTATGTTCATTGTATTCCACAAATTAGTGAGATCATATGATACTTGTCTTTCTCTGTTTGGCTTGTTTCGCTTAGGATAATACTTTCCAGGTCCCTCCATGTCATCTGAAAGGATAAGAGATTTTTCTTTCTTACAGCTGCATAGTATTCCATTGTGTATATGTACCACTGCTTTTTTATCCATTCGTCTACTGATGGACACTTGGGCTGTTTCCAGATCTTAGCCATTGTAAATAGTGCTGCTACGAACATGGGGGTACATATATTCTTTCTGATTGGTGTTTCAGGCTTCGTAGGGTATATTCCTAGAAGTGGGATCACTGGGTCAAATGGCAATTCAATTTTTAATTTTTTGAGGTAACACCATATTTTCCATAGTGGCTGCACCAGTCTGCATTCCCACCGGCAGTGTACTAGGTGTGGAGAAAAGGGGACTCTAGTACAAATGACTTACTTTTAACATTTTAATTTAAAAATTCTTAACTTGCATAAAGACATTAGGACTAAGTATGTATATCAAATTGTAAATCAATAAAGCTGGGAAGAATGACAGAGTTAAGATTGAGAAAGATGCTAGTGTGTTTGAACAATGAGGTTAAATTAGTAAAATCAAAATATATTGTATAAAAGAAAAGTCTCAGATGTAAACATATTTAGAACAGTAAAAAACATTACTTGCCAAGATTTCCAAGACAATCCAAGCTTGAGAAGACCTGGCTCACCAAATAAAAAATGCAACAGATATTTAAAGGGAAAAAGACCTTCCAAGAATACAAAGGACAGGTGGTTTTCAATGAGGCTGTTCATGGTTGAAAAGTAGGCCTGTCACTTGTCTGTCATATCCACAAG